ACTTTCTCAGCAAGACCCTTCGGGGGTCAAAGTTTGAGCTCTGCCTTGAGAACCGGTGACAGCGCAGTGATGGGACGGAGGGGAGGGCGCCTGTCCTTCTTCCCCCAGGGCCTGGGAACTGGGTGGGATCTCACATTCCCAACGACCTGGCTGCTGGCAGCAGCGCGAACCCTTTCGTCAGCCGCCTGGGCCGGAGCCAGGGCATTCCATGGAGCCAGAACCTTCGCGGATGCCCAGGGCGCCTGTGCCCGGGGCTGCCTCCTGCGCAGGGTGCAGCTGGGGCGGCTCGGGGCTCCGGGATCTCTCAGGGGTCCACCTGGCCGCACAGGCCCCTGCAACCCCTCCCCCCGACTTGCCCCAGAGCCTGGTGTGTGGCGACGGCACTGTCCAGAGGTGGGTGAGTCGGGTCGCTGAGGGCTCTCTGAGGGGGGATGGTGGATGTGTGCAGCCTGCAACGCTGCCAGCCCGGCGCACAGGCGGGGTCAGGGGGTGCAGATGTAGGGCTCTGCATCCAGTGGGGTCCCTGGCAGGCAAGTCGTAGAAAGTCAAGGGCAGTCACGGTGATGGAAGACGTGGGCCCTGGTGTCAGAATAGCCCGGGGTCAAGTGCCACCTCTGCCCCTTCCTAGCCGTGGGATCTCGGGCTAGTGGTTTGGCTTCTTGGTGCCTCAGTTTCCACATCTGCAAAATGGGAATGAAAATACCCACCTTGAAGGTTTGTTCTGAGTAGAGGCAGCAGGTACCCTGTTAGCGCCCGGTGAGTGGGGGTCAATGTCCTCACCCCAGCCTCTCAGGTTCTGTTCCTCTTACCCCAGGGCTGCACCCCGGGACCCTGGGATGGCTGAGGACTTCTGAGGCCCCACAGGGAAGCCTTGCTGGTGAGATGTAGAGAAGAGAGAGGTAGGGATGCTACTTGAACGCTTGTCACAGCCATCAGCCCATTTAAGCAGCTGGGTCCATTAGAACACAGGCTCTGGACTCCCTGAGGCCTGAGTTCGAGTCCTGCTCCCACCTGGTGCTGGCTGGTGCTCTGATTAGGTTCCTATCAGCACCTCATGATCCCCTGCGAAGTGGGGATAAGAGCCATGTCCTCCTGGCATGGGGGTGGGGGGAGGCTTGTCAGGATGCGGGGACCTAAGGAAGCGCCGGCCAGATGCCTGGCCCCTGTCAGCAGGATCATTTTGTCTTCTCGCCCTTATCACTGCGCTGCCTGCACTGCCCGGATTTGTGTCGCGTGCGCAGTGGGGCCGGGGGAGCGGAGGAGACTAGAAAAGGGCACCCCAGCAGAGGGACCTGCAAGAACCAAGGCTCAGGCCTGGGACCGCTGAGCTCCTGAAGCAAAGGGAGTGGGTCAGTGTGGAAGGACGGGAGCTGCGAGGTCCCCCTCTGAGACCCCTCCCTGACCCCAGGCGGGTGCTTCCTGTGGGTCCTGCAGCCCCGACCTGGGCAGTAACCCCAGGTGGCTGACCTCTCCCTAGCTGTCCCCGGGGAAAGGGGACCAGTGTTCACATGCAAGGGCCCTCCCCTCCTCTCTCTGCAGCTCATCTCGAGGGGGAGCCTGGTGTGGGGCGACTGCACTGGGGGGTGCGAAGGATCGAGTGTAAGCACTTTCTGTATGTCATGTTGTTTAATCCCAGGACCACCTTCTATGTAACAGCTACTCCCATTCCCCCCACTTTCCAGATGGGGAAACTGAGGCACAGGGTGGCGGAAGGATACTCCCTGGGCCCCTTAGCTGGCTGGGATTAAACCCAGGCAGCCTGGCTCCTGAGCTGGTTCTCAGCTCCATTTAGCAAAGGCTTCGCACCCACCAAGGCTCAGCTAAAATGTCACCTCCTCCAAGAAGCTCTCCTGATTTCCCCAGCCACCCATCTCTTTGCTTTGTCTAGAGCCAGCGCCACAAACTCAGCCATTGAAAGGGCCAGGCAGGAGACAAAAATGACCAAAGTAGGGACACTATTCACCCGCACAAAGAAATATATGTTCTCCCATTATGGTGGCTGGCAGCTGACTCCTTGCCCCTCTGGGAGCGTGGAGACTGGGCCATCTCACTCCCCCAGCATTTAGCAAAGAGGTGTGGCACTTACTAGTAGATGGTACCCACTGGCTGCTTTTTAAGTGGATGTTGGAATGCACCGACCCATGCTGCTTCCTGAACTTGCCAAACCTGTTCCTGCCTCAGGGCCTTTGCACGTGCAGTTCCCACTACCTGGAGTGCTCAGGCCTTTTCTGAGCACTTGACCTCAAATAGCATCCCCTCCGGCACCTCTATGCCCTGCTTCTTTTTATATTTTATCTGTAGCCCATATCATCCCCGGCCGTTAGATTCGTTTTATATTTCAGCATTCGCATAGTGCTTTGATGGACCAGGCATGCTTCAAAACTTTGCCAGTGCACACTCGTTTAATCCTCGCAACAGCCTGTGAGGGAAGAGCTAGGATCACCCCTGTTTATCAGCGGAGGGAACTGAGGCACAGAGAGGCATGGTGACTTGCCTGAGGTCACACAGCTGGTAAGGGGCCGAGCAGGGATTCAACCCAGATGGTCTGGATCCGGATGTGTTTGCCTTTATTTATATGGTTTATGTTTGTTACCTGTTCCTCCCCCTCGAGAAGGCCAGCCCCTCCAGGGAGGGACATGTCCCTGTGTTCCCTGCTGTGTCCCCAGGGTCCAGCTCTGGGCTTGGTGCATTTTATAGGCGCTTAATAAACATTTCTTAGAAGGAGGGAGGAAGGGAGACAGGAGGAGCAGAGAACTGGAGGGAAACGTCCTTGGCTTTTGAGCTTTCCGCCGCTGAATGTCAAGGCCATCTTATTGGAAGCTTCTCCGCTTCCTGGAGGGTTTGAGTCAGCCTGTCAGAGAGGGGCCCTGTCCCTCCCTCCCCCCTCTCCGTCGCCCTCCAATGGGGCCTCTGTCTTCTGACCTCTCCCAGGCAAAGGTGCCAAACTGCACTCCTGGATCCCTGGGCCCATGCTGAGCACACTTCCTCCCCTGACAGGGCCTCGGAGTTAGGATGTTTGGAGATGGAGACAGGAAGCTTCCAGAACAAGACGGCCTGGAGTGAGCGGGGCTGCTGGGCAGCCAGTGAGGGGCCTGGGCGGGGCTGCCCTGGGCCAGATGTGCTCCGGCCTCAGTGCTGCTCAGGGCGTGAGCAGAGGGGACAGGAGAAGGCTGGGAAGGGGTCCTGAGGCTGCAGTCTCCAGGGGTCTCCAGTTTAGCCAACATCCCTGGCATCCGGCCCTGCTCTGAGCAGTTCCGGGGGAGCCCGGTGCCCTGCCGAGTCCTCCTTGGACCCTAGCATAGTGGACGGCACCGAGGGAGCAGCGGGAACATATTCCCCAGTTTCTCCTTTCCTGACAGTAATAAGTAATGGGGACTGTGACAGGCCCGAGGCCACGCACGCCACCAGCCTTGTTTTCTGGAGTCCTCACAACTCTCGGAGATACGGGCTCCAGATGAGGCGGCGTCTGAGGCTCAGAGAGGTGAAGTAACCTGTGCGAGGTCACACAGCCTGAATGGGCTGGAGCTGGGAGGAACACTTAGCTCTAAGTCAGTGGTTCTCAACCTTCCTAATGCCGCAACCCTTTAATACAGTTCCTCATGTTGTGGTGACCCCCAATTTCATTGTTACAAATTGACCATAATTAAAGCATAGTGATTCATCACAAAAACAATATGTAATTATATATGTGTTTTCCGACGGTCTTAGGCGACCCCTGTGAAAGGGTCGTTCGACCCCCAGAGGGGTCGCGACCCACAGGTTGAGAACCGCTGCTCTAAGTGCTACTGAACACGATTCCGGGAAAACCAGGAGAGGAGTCCGAAGCCCAGACTGGAGCTCCTGATTCTGCGACTAAAAAGGGCACCGGGCCCAGAGCGGGTCTGCCTCGGGCTGGCCCGTAGCGTGTGGGTTTGACTTCCTGCAGGAAAGAGTTCACAATCCGAGTCCAGGTGATGGGAGAGGACAGTTTACTAAACTGGGGAGGGTGCCACAGGGAGGGCCTAGGCGAGCTGCTCTGGCTCCCTAGGAAGTCAGAGCAAAGTGGGCAGGTTCAGGGGTGAGCCTGGGACCAGCTGCCGCTGCCCATGGCTCCCCTGGTTGCAAGTCCCGCGAGGACCCTTTGAGATTAGGAGATGCGGGCCTGAGAGGGAAGAAGGGGGAGGGGAAAGGCGTGGGCCTGCTCCCGGGAGGGAGAGCATGTGCTGGGTCTTCTGTTTTGAGGATTTTTAAAGGCTGGGAGTTTAAGGGGGGGGGGGGGGGGTCCTCATAGAATATTCATCAGCTTATCCAGATGTGTCCTTTCAAGGGTCGTCGTCTCCACTGATTGGTCAGCGCCAGGGCAGGGGAAAAGCAGCCGGTCCTGGCGTCTCCCACCTTGTTTTGCTGCTTTTCTGGTCTTGGAGCTGAAATCCAGCTGAGGCCTGGCTGTTCTCTCTAGGGAGATGACCTTCTGCATCTGGCTGTAAATGGCTCAAGCAATTTGTTCAGCTGTCTCCATTTTTTTTCAGTCCAGTTGCCAAGGAATTTTCCTAGCTTCTTACTATCCCACTTCAATCCTGCTCACTACTCACTTGCTGGGTCACTTTGGGAAAAGATCACCAAACGTGTCTGAATCAGTTTGCTCATCTGTGAAATGGGAATAAGGGGGCCGTGACATTGTTTGAGAGCCTCCAGGGGGCGGGCTTTCCGTCATCACTTTCCTTCATCTTCACGGTGCACGGGGCCATCGCTAAGTCCCAGAAAGGCTGTTCCTTTTCATGCTTTCATGCCCCGGGCCGACAGAGTGAGACACTGGCTTGATTTCAACCGAGGGGCTTGAATCAAGTTGAAAAATGCTTTGCAGAGGCTCTTGCAGAGGATGTGGGGGTGCCGGGAAGGGAGACGGGGCTGAGCTGAGGTGGAGGAGCTGTAGCCACGGCTTCCTCATCCGGCCAGGGCAGCCTGTGGTCTGGGAGGAGGCAGCTGAGCGGGACCGCAGGCTGTGGCCTGGCTCCCAAGCCTCTTTGGCATCCAGATACCCTCCAGACTCATCTCTGAGCTCCGATGATTTCCAGGAACACAGATCTTTGCTTTGGTTTAGAACCTGCGAACTAGACTCAACCTGGTTTCCTTCCCCGCACCTGCCCCCCCCCCCCTTGTGGGAGAGAAACGCTGCCTGTGCTCACAGATATGTCGCCGTCTGATTTTTTCTATACAGACATCTGCTGGGCATCTACTGTGCGCTGGGTACTGTGTCCATATCATTGTTTCACGACACGCTCACGCTAACTCTAGGAGGGAGAAACGGTATCAGCCCCATGTTACAGACGAGCACACTGCGGCTTGGAGAAGAGAGGTAGTTTGTCCATGTTCACTGAACTAGGAAGGGCCTTGAACCTGGACTCCCAAGGGTGGGCCCCTCTGGCCACTAGGTAGCTTGGGGTGGGGACAGGTCTGAAACCACCTTGTCACAACAAGGACCCCAGACTTACTCATCATGGCATCGTGGCGGAGAGACTTTTAAGTTAACCTTGTATCTCCAGCCCGGAGATCTTAGATCTGCAAGGGGTCCCAAGAGAACTTTTCATCCAAGACCTCTTGATTTACTGAGGGGAAGGCTTTATTATTGTCATTTTATAGGCGACTTCACTACAGCTCAGAGAGGTCAAGCAACTTGCCCAAGGTCACACAGCACGGCACGGAGCCATGATGTCTTTTTGTTGGCCCATTCAACTGGCTTTTTTTTTAAATTTTTTTTATAAAAGCTGAAAGGGGGCCTTTGAGACCATCAACTCCAACCTCCCTGTCTTACAGATGGGGAAATTGAGGCCCCAAAGAGCCAGGGATTTATCTAAGAACATTTGCCAAGTAGAGCCTGCAAAGCGTAAAAGAGCACTCGATTCTTAATCTGTATTCAAAT